CACATCCGAGAGCCTCCAACTGTTGTTTTGTTCATTGTCGGTACCCCGATATGCTACCTCCATCTTTCGACAAGCCACCAATTTGAGAAGTCGCCTCTATCAGTTGTATGTAGATCTCTGATGGGCCTCCTAGTCAACTGTTTGTTGTCAGTGATCCCCCATGTAGTCGAGCCGTAACCATCAGACCAAAGCCATGGGCTTAGCCGACACCAGTACATCCTCCTGCGAGCCGAGCCCAGACATCGTGCGACTGTTGAACCCTAGGAGTTGTCACCATCATGCGCCTCTAAAGTGTTGGCGTTCTCTGTCGTCAGTTAGCCACATAAATCCAGATGTTCGCATAGCTGCAAGTCTCTGCCATCAGTAATCAGTTTCCTCGCTTTCAATCACCCGAAGTCATCGAACACCGCCGCCTCGAGCAAAGCCCCCCGCTCCTAGACCTACTGCCAAGTTTGGTGCTATGTGAGAAGGTGAGGAATTGGGAGAAAAAAAAATTGAATTAGTTTTTTGATATGCGATTAAATAAATACAAGGAATAAGAATAAGAAAAAAATAACTAGTGTACTGCAAACACAATTAGAAGAAGAAGAGAGAAAACTAATGGGAGAAAAAAAAAAGGGAAGAAAAAAAGGTCATTTAGGTGCTGAGAGTAAGGCGATTCCTTCGAAATGGAGGCGAGATTCCTTCGAGTTAAGGCGAGAGTTCCAGATTTCAGGCAGTAATTATTGTCTCTTTAGGAGCAGTAATCTCGACTTAGCAGGTTAATTCTTTCACTCTCCCTTTGGCAGGTAATAGGTACTGCTGCTTAATTGTCTGTTCTAGGGTTTTCTTTTTTGCGCTCGCATTCCCTTTGCTCCTATCTTTTTCTTTCTAGTCTTCCCATTTCAGGGTTTCTTTCCCCATCCCACTTCCCTCTCAGTTCGATCATGGAAGAAGAAATAACTAATAAACTTGGTGCTTTCAAGTTATCAGATAGAGAGGTCACAGTCATACCCATAGAAGTAGGGGACGCCCAACTTAGTTCAGAAGAATGCAAAAATTCCCTATTCGGAAAGCTAATTGGTTCTAAAAGGCACCCCTAATCGGCCCCAGAAGAGCAATCATCTAAATATGGCAAATAAAAGGTCCAGTGGTGATTCGAGAATTGAGCTCCAGTTATTTCCAATTCTTTTTCACCGAGGAAGACGATAAACTCAAAGTTTTCAAAGGGATAGGGTGGTCCTTCGAGAATCAATATTTGCTTTTGAAAGAATGGAAAGAGGACATTAATCTAGATCACCAAGACTTCACGGAGCTAGACCTATGGATACAGGTATGGAATATTCTCATACATTTGATTGCTACAGATGTGGGCCTTAAGATAGGGAAAGCTTTTAAACAGGTGAAAAATGTGATTGTACCACATGGAGGAATATTGGTTGGGAAGTGTCTAAGGTTGATGGTTACTATTGATCTCACACAGCCCCTGCTGAGATGCGCCACTATTCAAATGGGTCAGAAACAAACTACTGTGGACTTCAAGTATGAAAGGTTGATGAATATATGCTTCTACTGCGGACTCATTGGCCATATT